GTACGTTGAAAGGAAATAAGTTTTCTAGTGGAGGTCGTTGTTGAAGTTTTCTTTTGACAAGAGGATTTTACTAATGAAAACAACTTGGGAGTGAACTAGAAAATAATTAACGGCATGGTGACGTGAAGAAAATTTGTAATTAAAAAGTAATGTTGCCGTGTTTGATTCTCTTGTTGCTGGTGAGAAAGGCTCAGAGAGATCGGATCACTGAGAAAAACGTTATTCACTGGTATCTGAAAGCATTTTGTTCTTCCCACTCCATTGATTATTTGTTCAATCTCCGCTTTGTATTACCTACTGTTTGATTGACAATCACGTTATTTTTAGTAATCGGCTTAGTTTGCGAACTGACAAATTATCCTTGGATATTTTATCTATTTTCTTTCATTCTATGAGATTGGAGTTTATATTTAATTTATTCGACAATCGTCGATTGGGTAACAATTGAAAGGCATGTTCTGTTTTTTTTTTCATTAGAAATGGTTATCGATAACAAAGAAACGTTTTCTTATTCACTATCTTCCCCTCTGACTTTTCCTTTATGTAACGTGTAGTTTTTCATGGTACTTTTTATTTCTTTTCACTATGTCAGAATCGAATTGATTTCAGTCGTCTAACGTAGAAGAACAGTTGTTTCCATCGTTGTTTCATTTTTGACATGCTGGTTGTGGATAATTCAATTGGATTGAACTGAAATATGTGATTCGTAAGAAATTTCTTATGCTCCATATATTCATTTCGAAATGTGTTGATTTGTTATTCGAATTAATCAGGTTACTGAATATATATGCCTCGATCGATTTTTTTTTCAAAATCAATTTAAAATATAAAATATCATAAACTCATTTATTTAATATCACTTGTACTAAATCCATCGATTAGTGACCTATTGTTATAGTACATATTGATCTTACATAATCTTATTCTTACATGACATCCATTATGTATACGTACGTTTATCGTCTATCTTGTCATTTGTCATTTATATAATCCATCGTTTTATAAAATTTGAACACATATAGCTCATTTTGTAGTACAGTGAACATTACATTGTAAGCATAATAGTATTGATATATATACGCTGTTTAGAATATAATTCATTGGGTACTTATGAAAAATGGCATCTAACAAGAAAACCATGTCAGTTACTTCTACACAATTAGGCAAAATGATTGATCATTCTCTTCTACATCCAACAATGACCGATAATGACATTGTTGCTGGATTAGAAATTGCTAAAAAATATAATGTAGCTGCTGCATGTATCAAACCATATCTAATATCAATGGCTAAAGAAGTTCTGGCAGGATCCAACGTCCTTATTTGTCCTGTTATTGGCTTTCCACATGGTAATAGTGCAACTGAGATTAAAGTTATCGAAGCAGAAACCGCTGCTAAAGCAGGTGGTCAAGAAATCGATATGGTTATTAATATTGGTAAAGCACTAGGAGGAGACTGGGATTATGTTAGTAAGGAGATCGATCTGATCAACAAAGCTGTGACAAGACACGGTGCCATCTTGAAAGTCATTTTTGAGAACGATTATCTTCTTGATGAGCATATTATCAAACTATGTCAAATCTGTACATCACTCTCAGTTGCTTTCGTCAAAACATCAACTGGATATGGTTTTATTAAAAACGCTGATGGTTTGTATTATTACAAGGGTGCTACTATTCCACATCTTAAGTTAATGAGAGAATATTCTGGACCAGATGTACAAATCAAAGCAGCTGGCGGAATTCGAACACTCGATGATTTACTTCTTGTAAGATCATTAGGTGTAACTCGTGTGGGCGCTACTGCTACCGTTACTATAATGGAAGAAGCTAAGGCACGTGGTATTACAGATATGCCAACTGAAGTCATTTTGAAATTAGCAGATCATCTTCAAAGCGGCTATTAAAATTTAAAAAAGATGACATTAACATTAAAGATTTTTTGGGTTGGCATTCTTTTATTTGAGAAAAAAAAAGAAAAATGAGTAAATATTGTGTTATTGTAGCAATAAACCTTCAAGTAAATACTGCCATTGTTGTGTGCACTCTTGATTGAGTGCGTGGCATAAATCTTTGTGCTAATTTTTCAACAGATAGTAGGAGCCACGGAACGACTAGCTTAAAAAATGTTACTAGGCCTCCTTGAAGACCTAGTACTGTTGTAACAGCAAATAGAAAACTGTTTCGGTGTGTAACGGTGATATAACATGCGACAGGTTTACATTGTTCAAAGAATTTTGCATATGAAATATTAGATAACCATCTTTCAATAAATATCTCTTCAACGATTGATTCAATAGTATCATTCATACTAAATCGTGTTTCGTTTTTGTTTAATGTAACGATAGAAGAAGGTAAAGATATGTTTAAATAGGTAACTAGTAGATCGACGCATGATTGATTATAAAAACATTCAAATGTGCTTTGAAGAAGTGATTCTAGCGGGGTACATCCAACAAAATAGCCAAGAATAAAAGGAGTTGACGATTGAGTACATGTTGATGATGTAGCGCAATTGCAATTGTTATAAAATTGTGGATGAAAATAAACTGTTGCATATTGAACAACATCTTTCATTTGAAGATACCAATTAGTTGAATAGGATGATACCATTCCATTGCTTTGTATCATACCACGTAAAAGATGAAAAGTATTTAGAAAAACATTGGGCAATGTCGATTGAAATTTCATCAAAGACGTATTTATTTGTGTGTTCAAAGCACTATTATCAATTATGTTAGCAGAAATAACTGATGATGCAAGAAATTGTTGACGGCCATCATTTATAATATCTTTTACGTGACTACACAACACGGCAAGTGTTTGAAACTGCGTGAAACATGTACCTTGAAGTGTAAACGCATTCCATTTTGCATGAAAATAGTTCAATTGATTGTATATTTGAAACAATTCTTTGATATACCAATCCGAAACAAATTCACTACCACATACTTGGTGTAAATCGAATTCAAGTTCAATGAATGATGAATAAGGAATCGAGAAATGGAAACAAGGACAATTAATAGCATCAATACTATACTGTTGTTGTAATTGTTCGTATTCTTCAAGAGATGGATTATATATTACGGTGATAAATGAAGAATAGATCAGTAAATTGTTAAGGCCAAATATTAATAACGTTATGCTCAAAAGAACTAAATAAACTCTGGTTCCTCGACGTTGCTCTTCGATTGTTTTATTATTCATCACCGTGTCAAATACGTTTAGTTTCTTGGCCCATACATAAATCTTTCGAGAGAATGTGACTAAAAAGTGATCGAGAAGAAAAATATTATTTTTGATATGAGTAGCATGGATAAAGTAGAACAATAGGTGGCTACATCTTACATCTGCATCTTTAAAAGACATTTTTTCCAATTGTTATTCACAATTTTACATGAAAACACACGATTAAATGGTTTCTCAATCCTTTACAAACAAGTATGGGTCTTCTAAAGACTTTTATGAATATTTCTTAAATAGTATCTCACCTAATTCGATAGATTGTTCAATCTGATGTCGCTGTAGGAGGTGTATCACTAGTGCAGCAATCACGAGAGCGATAATACGTAGAGATATTGTTAAACCACCAGTAAGAGCAACAATTCGCGTTATAGTTTCTGTTACACTATATGGCTGCGAAATTTGATAAGTACAATATGAGAGTTGACATTGAGTAAAATAAGATAGGTAAATTGAAGTTGGGTTCCATGATTCAATAAATAGTTGTTCAAGTGAATTACTTATTGTACTGTTTATTGGAAAACGGCTAGCATTATAAGATGAATTTAATCGAGTAACATTAAGATTTGAATTATTATAAATTCTAATCATATCATTAAGACAATGTTGATTATCATAGAAACATTCAAGTGTTGACATACGAAGAGCTTGTATAGGAAAACAAGCCGCATAAAAACCAACAACGTAATACAACACAGTTGCTATCGGACCATTAAGTCTATAGATAGCTGATGGTGTTTTACAGTATATATCATTCGCACATAAGCATGTCGCATTGTTAGAATTTAGACTTCTTACTGTGATAACTGGAACAGGGATAGATGCATTGGAAACTTTAATTAGAAAGTTCTTGAATTCACCCGAAAGAAGTTGATTAACAAAAGTTATGTTCGAATAAAGTTGCAGAAAACGTAAAAATTTATTTGTCGTTTGCAGTATAAACTGATTAATTATGGAAAGTACTTGAATATCAAACAGATCTTCTGTTAGAAGTTGTGCATTGACTAACTGTGTTTCTTGGAATTTTTTTAGTGAATTAACAACTGTGTTATTAGATAATTCACATAGTGAGCTCAATAATTGAAACAATGGTCCATTGTTTGCAAAATCCAGACCAAATATTCCATCATTACCTAAATTTATGTAGTGATTTTCAAAATCTATCGTATGTTTATCCAACAAAAGTAAGATATACTTTCAAATATTGATTTGTTTTGAAATAAATAAAATCACTTACCAGTAACAGAATTAGTAACGGCATCAATCCAGTTTGTGGAGATGAAATCACTTGAACATACTTGATGAAAAGACGGCTGGAATTGAATAAAATTACCATACGATATAGATACTTTGCTGCATGAACATTGTAAAGACGTGATTAGTCCGTTGATACTTTGTGATTGCAATTGTTTAACTGTTGTAAATGATGGATTGTTCACTTCGATAGATCTCATTTCGGCAATAAACAGATTGTAAATTATAAGTATGGAAAAAGCCAAAACTAGAAGTAACAGATAACCACGTGTTGACCAACGTTGATATGTGATTTGTGTCTGCGCTTGTTCAGCTGAGGACTTGAATAAATTAAGATAAATCAATAAATGCCATATCGTGAGCGCCATTGCTCGTACTCTTTGTTTTCGACTTCTGTTTTCTATCGTTCGCAGATCTATGTAAGATAGTTAGAGTGAGTGTATGAATATGATGCGGCTTTATCGTTTTAATTGAACAAAAAAGAGGTAAAAATAGAAAACCAAGACCCTATAATACTATTTATGCCAGAACATTGCTAAAAGTCTTCAGCATATTTCGTATCTTAAAATGTTCCTATAGTCGATCCCGACTCAACTTCATACGTGTAAAAATGTGCGCGTTTGACTCGATGAAAATAACTTTTTAGAAGAAAAATTATGAAGACATCTTTTGTTAGTATCAACCTAAGTTTCCTTCAAAAGAAAAAACTATTTTTCTTTGCTTGTTTGAACGGATAAAGTAAAAATTTCGAAGGACAGGAAGTTCAATGAGCAAGCCTCAAAATGAGCTGGGCAATTGTCTATTTACCCTCGCCCTGGTGATTTTCGGAAAGGAAGAAATGTCCTAATTAAAACTCAAATTTTATTTCAAATTTGGTGTATGCTCACTGTCTTTCTTGCAAATTGAAACGAATGTAACTAAATCAGCGCAATGATGTTTTTGTTTAACTTACTGCTAGTGGCCAAAGTATCGTGCAGCGATCTTTGATCTGAGCGCTGAAAGAAGAATGCGACTACATACGGAATAATCAGTCGAAGAACGACTGATAAACCACCAAAAAGTCCACAGAGAGTAGTGAACATGTAAAGAAAGGTAACACGTCTATCAAGTGTATATAAGCATGATTTTGGTTGACATTGAGTAAAATATTGTGAGTAAGTAATGTTTGTTGATAACTTCTTAAGAAACATTGTACTTTGTGAAATATCTCTTAATGTATTGTTCTGATTGATATTCATCGATTCATTTAAAGATGCCAATAATGTTAAATTCAAAAACGATGATGTTTTATCTAAGTGCATCGCAATAATGTTAAGTACACTTTGATTAGTTAAAAAATTTTGCTCAAGAGAAGAAGAGAGCAGAGATTCTAATGGCCAACAATTGACGAACCAATTTTGAAAAAGAAATGATGAATTTAACTGCTCTACAAAACCAAAGTCCGTATCAAGAAGTGCATCGTCATAATATCCTGTCGGTGCAGGACAGAGACTTGTAGAATCACATATACACCCATTTGGATATGATGATTGTGGTGGATAGATAATTGTGCCTACACCTACTCTCCAATTGACTCCATCGAAAGTATAAGTTAAAAGTATGAAATTTGTTTGAATTGCAGACCACATTTGATTTCCATATATAAGGGAACGAACAAAGGAAAAAGAGAAAAGAAAATCAGTTTTTATTTCCGCTTGAAGGTTATCAACAACTGCTTGAATTTGTTCATTGAAAATATCTTCGCTTAGTAAATAATTACAAATGAATTCTTCATCAAAAAAGTTTGATATCATGTTATTAATAGTTAATTGTGACAAGCTACATAGTTCTCGTAAGACTTGAAATTGTAAACTAGCTGTTGCTCGAAAATCCAAAATATAATGCATTGATGTTATATTATCGAAGAGTACTTCTATCCATTGTTGAGATATGAAAATACTGGAGCAAATTTCATGATATGTTGGAATTAATTCAACGAATGAACCATATAAAGATGAAATCTGAGCACATGGACACATTATATCACTTACACCGGTTTTATTCTGCAATTCAATATATGTATTCATGGATGGACTTTTTATCTCCACTTGCCGTCGCTCTGTATGTAAAGCATTGTACCAAGATAAGATTACAATGGAAACACTAAGAATAAGAACATAAAAACGTGTTGACCATTTCTCAATACGGACGACGTTTTCATCGGTCGAATTTGACCTGAAAATGTTCAATTCCACTAAAAAGCTTTTGAGATACTGGATGCTACCAAGACATCCATTATTCCGTGTTTCCATTTGTTTCTTTTTTCAGTGTAAAAGTAAAATAATTGCGCACAAAGACGATTCTTGTTGACGGAAAATGTTCTAATAGTTTGCTTCGCAGCGTGGATAATGCATTTTTTTAATTAACATAAAGTACAATAATAAAAAGATATTTTCCGTCTCAAAACCACAAAATAGTACATTTGAATTACACTTTCAGTAATAAAATATTCAACTCGGCGAATACATTCAAAAATGTTCTCAGTTTTTAACCGTCCAGCAAACGTCTCTCATAGAAAATCTTTTGTATATGTGAAGAGCGCGCCATTCATACCGTTGAATTTTGAAAAATGTTATCGAGAATCCAAGAAGAGTGTGGGTGCGTATGAATTCATAAACAAAATAGTATAACGTATCAGTAACGATCGTCGAAAGTGACGCACTTGATCCTCGACTGAATTACCACATAAAGATAAAATAATCTTTATGCTTGGCTTTAACGGCAAATATAGAAATATCTATTCAGACACAGCTTCTTAGAAATTGTTTCTATTCATTGCAGTTTCATACAAAACGAATTTAAGGATTTATTACTATACTTCAGTGACATAGTCAAGATTTTGAGGCTAATGTGTAAAGCTTTTAATTCAACAACCAATTAGAAAATATAAGAGAATGAAAAACTAGTAGTAAGTATCAAGTAAGATCAGTCCCCATTCAATACTTTGTTTCTGCCGTAAAACATCACATCTTAATGAGACTTTTCGGGTAGATATGTTTGAGCTATTCACCTCGTGATAAATATTCCAGTTTACAATCTTAAGTTTTTCTAAGAGACAGTTTGAAACTAAGATTCAAAACACAGATTTGCCCGCATTCCAGATTTCTTCACCGTTATAAACGTTAGAAAGTCGAGCTTTTTATCAAAATGAAACGAAGAAATCTGACCTGTTGAGTTGAAATGCTATATTTTAACTATGATTTAAATCAAACCTACACATTTGATAGCAGATGCGTTGCTCTATTGGATGCCTTTTTAAAAATGAAATTAGACATTGACAGAAATCAGCGCTTTGATAATCAACATACATGTAAAAAAGTATAATCCAATGCTAAAAATATCCTGGACGAACTTTTTTCACGTATTATTAAGTCAGTCAAGTCTTAAAATGTGTCATTAGTCAAAGAAAGTGGACAATGGGCCATTCGCCCTCCCTCGGGTTACACAATTGACCGTTACTCACGTTTTTTTGGCAAATTGATTGAAGAAAGCATTGCTTTCATTTCTTACCAAATAAAAATATTGTCAAAGTAAATCATAATTTCTCCATATCATACAGAATTTTCCTATGATCACATTATCTTCATGATTTTTGGTAATCAATATTCCAGTCTTTTTTGCGCCAGCTTTCAAGTATAATGGTGTTCCTTCAGGCGAAGCTTCGGGAAACGTATCTACACCCAGTTTTTTAGCTTTTTTAACTACCTTGATCAATAATCGTAATCCACTTCCTTTCCCTTGTTGATATTTTGCAACATTCATTCTACGAATGTAGACATACGGTGTACTATGTGGAAGGTATTGTTGTGCTTGTCTAGCCCGATCTGCATAACAAAAATCAAAATTATGAAGAAATGCCATAATCATTATATCCAACTAAAATCTTCTGTTCATTATTTAATTCGTGATTTTCGGCATTTGATGGTACAAAGGAGGATGATCTATATGTTCCAATTGATACACCTACAATAGCGTCATTGATTGTTGCTACATGGGCTATATCATTCATTGCTAATGCTTCTTTGTGCCAATATTCGAATATTACATTTCTATTTGATTCACCTTTCGAAAGAAGATAATCATAGAATGGAAATGAATGTACTAGAAGCGAGTTTATGCCTTTTGTATCGTTTATTGTTGTACGTCTAATGATGAATTCTGAGTCAGTAGCAGTCGCCATTGTTATGTTATTAGACGCCGCATGGCTGATTTAACATTGTTTACGATGTGTGAATAAGAAAATGTGAAGAATAACGATGTTTATTTCATCTATCTTACCATGTGCTCTCGCTTCTAGTGACGTGTACAACAGTATTTTCAATTTCTTTCTATGTTTATTTGCTTGCCTACCAGGTTTTTTCTCTCTAAGCAAATGCGTACTACACATGAAGGGTTGATCTTGAGGATGAGGGTGATTTACAGATGATAAAATAAAAGTAACAATCTAGAATGGTTTAGTGGAAAATCGACAGTAGGAATTTCGACAATCTTGCAGATTTGAAAAACTGCGTATTGCTTTTCTAGGAGTATGTTACTACAAAGATTCATGTAGTATCCTACTGCCCAGACTTACCCTCACCCACCCTTTTCGTTTTACCTCTAGAATATCCTCTGGTTTTTCGTCCTTCCATATGTATTTTAATCAAAAAATCCATTTAAACTCATATTGAGTTCTTCAACTTTAAAATACATTTCCGGTCTGTTTATAAAATTTAAAAAAAGATTTAATTAGCAACACGGTCCGCATCCTAGATTACAACAACTAATATCACAAGATGCTGGTGCGCTCGGAAATGACATATTACAGAATCCTGGTGTAATTTGAACTGGCATACGATGATCTGGTAATGAAACTGCATCACTAACAGGTCTGCTCATTGGTTGGAGAATAGAATCGATTAATACAAGAAGTGCAAATATAAATGCTTGATATTCGTTATCAATATCAGCCATTTCAATGGTAAACTGATCATGCCAACTATGCTTATTTATTTTCACTTGCGCAACAATATTATCATTGATTTTTAAAACATAACTTCGATCCAAGATTTTTAAATCCGACAGAGTAAAATTGCCAATAACTGTTTCGACAAGTTTTTTATCAATTTGCACATTAGCAAGAGTTTCTTTATCATCGACTGAATGAATTGCTTTGAATCCAATGTAAAATAATATTTTTTCATTTCCATCCTCAAACTGTCGATATTTACGAAAACCAGATCGACGAACTTGATAATAAGTTGCATTCCAAATATCATTACTTTTGATTGTATAACGATACTTTTTCCATGGAGCATTTCGACTCTCTAATTGATACGATTGCTGCATTTTGATTGTTTGTAAAATTCATTTCACTCTGTAAGTATATATACATAAACCGATACGGAAATGATGATATTGGAAATTTTCTAATTGACTCATTTTTATGTCTATTGATGTTATTCATCGCAAGATCTTCTTGCCTGTGGCGAAACCTGTAAAGGAAGTCTGACATTTGTTGTCATTTCTCTGATAATTAATATGACGTGAATGGTCACACCTTTTCTTCGTTTTTCAAGAATATTTTTCAAACGAGGATAAAACAATAACTTGAAATAGAAGATAACGAATGGATGAAAATTATTTGAACAAAATGTTGATAGCTTAAACATATGTGTAACAACTATTCGAACAATTGATTTTGTATTGATTCTTATCTTATAGCATAGATATATTTCGAAATACTGTTCGAAATGACATCAATTACTTCTTCCCACCCGATGAAGTCATGCTGAAGACAAATCGTTTTTTCGAATGTCTATTAACTAATGAATACTCGAGTTTTTGCTATAAGCAAGGAATGAGATAATAATTTCTCTTCCCTAGTTGACATTCAGCCGAAATGAAGAAAATATCATATTAAAATAATCTGTTGTTGAGGAGCACCTCAAATTATGATCAGTAACAGCAATAGTTGGGCAGAAATGTGCATAAGCGAAGAAAACTTAGTTCGAGTAATGAGAAATCTCAACAGTATATATACAAGAAACATTTATTAGTTTTTGTATTTCAAATATGAGTAGTACAATTATCTCATTTTCTTTGTCAAATAATTCAATTGACTATCAATCATGGTTTATTCCATTGGATGTGATAAAAAATAGTTTTCTTTTCATGACTATTCTAATGGCTTTACTCGTTTTATGTATTATTGTATTTAATAAAACATGCCATATAGTTCAATTATGCTTCTAGGAAATTCCTGTTTAACAGTGTTTTTCTTTTCGATTTTTTTGATTTGGATGACAATTTTTTCATTTCACAACGATTTTCAACAAATCCAATATAAAGATTTGTTATGTGAAATACGTTCTTATTTAGCTTATACTTGTTGTGCCGAACTACTTTATTCTTTTCTATTACAAAGAATCTATCGACATGTCATTGCGCTTTATCCAACTTGTCTATTTTGGCAATCAATCAAATGTCAACTATTGCTCACTGTTATTACGTGGCCAACTTCCTTTCTATGTTCTTTACAATATTTACTAACCGATGAAATTCAATATCTCGTCGATGATCAAATGCGTAATATGCCAAATCATCTTTCTAGTGTTTTAGTTTACAATGCATTGTATACTTATACAATACCCGTGGTTTGCATTTTTGTGATCTATTCTAAATTGGTCTTTTATATTAAAGAAATAAGTCGACGAACAGGTCAAGGATATACTTTATAGCTCGTGTTCGACGAGAGTTGCGAATGTTACACCGTATAGTGATTATAGTGTCGAGTTTTCTAGTATTTGATATGCCATATTTAACTTATATGATCATGGAATTTATTGGAGAACATCTACTGAAATATGATCTTCGTATTGCTTTTGCATGCAGTGATCTGGCTTTGTTTTTCTTCATGATTATCATATTTCGGTTCACTGATCCGTTGAAGTCAATATCCATTAAAAGATTTACGGCTCCACGAAGTACAGCAATTAGGCCAATAAAATAGCTGAACTAGTACACAGAAAATACGGCAATTTCCTACTCCTTACACAATAGGAGGTCATTTTTATTAGAAAGCTCCTTTAAATGTCATCTTTATTCGATGTATTCGAAGGCTCAGGCTTTATGATGCTTCTGTCTTTACTATTTACTAAAATATGAAAATCATTGTCTTTTCTTTGATAGTAATTCTATTTGTATTGTGATATCATCTTTATTCTCGTCCAATAAACAAACGTTCGTCAAATAAGAAAATGAATGAATCATCAAATAATGAATATATTCAGCGAGTTTTCATTCCTATACCCCTCACCCTCGATCAGTTGACACGAATAGGAACAACAACGGTAAACCAACGAAAAACTATCTGTTATCCCATGATAATGAAATTGATATCATATAATCATTTAAATATAAGCGTAAAGCTTGGTGCAATGGCATAGTACGAGAAGTTAAAGAGAGAAACATACGGGTGTTGAAAAAAAGTGAAAATATATTGATTTACATGACGGTTTAAAGCGTGAACATTCACACATGGGCGTGACCAGTCGATATGGTACTTCAACACGTATTTGTTTGGTTTAGCTTTAACTAATTGTCGGGAAAAGCTGATTCTTTTAGAAATTATAGTTCATGTGTAGCGCTGATGATCTATGACTACGCCAGATCAATGTTCTAATAGCAACAACGTTGGTTTTCTTCTTGGCATAGGTAATGACACATTTTCTACACTAACAACTTACTCAACTGGTGCTAATTCATGAGATGTGAATGTAACTGATCTTAATAACGATGACAAGCACAATTTTATCATTAAAAATCAAAATAATAGTATAGGCATCCTCTTGACTTGCTGATTTTATTTTCAAACTTGATCGTGAATTTTTTGTTATAAATTGTATCGGATGACTAAGTTGAATGTCGTAGACGCAAATCATTACAAAACGTTAAAATTTGAAATATTGATGACACATCAACTAGTTTTGATAGAATATACTTTTCAGTTTCATTCTTAGCTGCGGCATTAGAATTCGAAAACCTTGGATTACTTCATTATCACTCAAAATCTTTGCTTGTCCTCGTTATGGTGGTGCCATTGATCATGACTATAAAAGTTACATGCGCAGTAAGTCAGACGAAGTATTGAATGGGAAACGTTGGCATCGTCGCTCTAATGGACCTGTAATAAAATGTACTTACGGTTATTTATATCAGTTTGGCAGTGTATAGATGCTTCATATGGTTTTGATACGTGTCGGTGTGCATGACATAGTTCGCATTAACAGATGACACCTTATGACTGTATGTTGTTTCCATAGTATTCATTTTTGATGATGTGGATGTACGATAGCAGGGAAGAAGGCGGTTGTAAATTCAATGAAAATAAATTGACTTGTACATCTAACGAGAGAAGGCCGCTAACTGTGTCCTCGCTGTTGGACTGAAACTCAGATTGACAATCAGTAATTGAACGTGCTGATTCCGAATATCACAATGACTTTTGCTCACTTTCGGTTTAAAGACCGGAATTTTCACTAAAAAATTCTCTTAAGCTGTTTAAATAAAAGAGCACACCGTTAAGCCTACCAAAAATAAGCTTTCAACGATCTGAGTGAGTTTTTGGCGTCTAAAGCTCAAAAAAGAGAGAAAAATCGTCATTCCCATCTACATATACACGATCTGACAATAAATTCTTTTCCTTGACACATAGCAGCGGTTTTTTATTTGATCGAAAGCATTACGATTACAATATAAGCATAGAATGTTATGTCAAAATTGAGTGTGCAATTGTATTTTAATTTTGTCGTAAAAATCTAGGAAATCTTTTAATAATATCTTGTATTGCGCCATGAAATTCATTTTTATAATTCTCTGACGGTAATACAAAAACAATGAACGTTGACATCGACGGAATAAATGATATATAATAACCAATAAGATGTATCCATGGTTGACGTTCAGATCTCATACATCCACTTACAAATGAAATAATTAAACGTGGCGAACTTAATAAAATTAATGAACATGGTGCAATTAAAAGATGTCGATGTTGTTCTAACAGTTGTTTTATATGTTCTTGATATTTTTTACTACGTTTAAGATTAGCACGAGTTCGAGCTAATGTTATAATTAGCCAAATACTAGAAATAAGATTAATTGAAAAAGGGGCAAGAAAATGAAATAATGTAATAAATATGTTGTAAATATTAACGAAATAATTGTATTGAACTAAACACCAAATACGTTTTTGATCGATGTCCAAATCGTCAATTAATTCGCGATAAATCGGATCATGAATATGTGTAATAATTATCAAAATAATCACCACTGTAATCACTCGTTTTGACATTTGTTTACTTTTATTTTTATTAAAATTAGTACTTTGTTTAACACTAATTGCTCGTTCAATAGCTACACATGCATTTAACCATTCAGTTGTTGCCAGAAGAATTTTAAGTATTACATCTAAGATAATGCAATTCAATGTGAGAAAACGTCGATTGTCTATTGTAAATATTTGATCAAACATTAATTGCCAAAATTTATATGTTAAAATAAAAAACATAAATATTGCGGCAATCGATGAAGATAAAAGATAATTTCCTGTTCCAACTTGTCTTGGCTTCTTTCTTACAAATATTAAAATTGATAAACACCCGTTAACTAATCCTCCAATAAAAAATACTATACTAGTTGCAATTGTTATTCTAATAATTGATGGTTGTCGATTAATTGCAACATTTGGTTGAATATGATATCCAAGAATAGGATCTAATGAAAACATAAAACTAGATGTGGACAATTGACATTTGACACCATAAAAACAATCTGGACAAATACACGTTAATCTTGTTGGACATCGATCATTGTTTTCGAAACATTGACCCCCATTTTGACATAGATTATGATCTGAACAAGAATCAATATTTGTATTATTGAATCGAAAACAATTAGAAAAACGATCCAGGTCACAAATGCACATTAAATTATCATCATCATAAAAACATTTCAATTGAGAATTTTGCCGACATAAGAGTGGATAATATTTTACTCGTCGCAGATATTGATATTGCACAAATGTACTATTGAAAAGTTCTTTAATATGACGACAATAATAATTCGATTGAATTTCGGTATAAATATCTTCGGAATGTGAATGCTGTTCTCGAAGAACTGTTAAATAATAACGTTGAGAATTTGGAATTTGAAGAATTAATACATTAAATGGTTGTGGTGCATAAAATGTTAAATTTTGGTGATCAAAAGGAACTTTTTTTATTATTGTTATTCGCATATGATGTTCACTATCATGCATGATTACGAAGTGTAAGAAAATCCGTGAGATTGTAAAGGAAAATATCTCATTTAAGTGAATACTAATTCGATTATTTCTATTTTCACAATGTTTACCGGAATAATCTGATGTACATAAACAGTTATACGTTGTTAAATCGATACGGTCATCATTGGGTATACATAATCTGTTGTGATGGCTTGAATTGATTGTTAATTGAGAAATAGGATGATTAATATAACAATGAACGCCAAATTTATACAAAGGACATACACAAATGGATGATGCGAGACAGATGGAGTCATTTGCACAGTTACATTTGTGCGAAATATTACAATACATACCGGAATATCCTTTGTCGCAATGGCAGAAAAATAACGAATGTTTATTGATGTAACGCATACATTTACCGTGCTTACCACAATATAATGGACAAGGGGAATTATTTGGCACTTCAGGAATCAACAATTTAGTAGAGATTCGATTAACAGGTAAAAAGGCAAATGGTATTGATAAATACCAACTTCCCCAATACAGTAAATCAGATTTTCTATAGACATTAATATGAATTGAATAGTTTTTTGAGAGAGATTTTGGCCGCTGTGGATAAAGAAGATAGATATTGTACTTTTTAAAGCAATCATAGCTGGGACCATAGGTTAATCTCTCATAATATGGTGCAATATGTCCATCTCCATCGATGAGTAAAATTATGATCTGAAATGCAATGTTAAGCGATTCAAAAGTAAGCCATGAAAATTGAAGTGTTAAACTGATACGTTGATTTTGCCATTGACATCGATCTCCAAAATGAGTAGATGGGCAGAAACATTTTTTCGTTGCATTTCTACCATGTAATACTAAAATACCACGATGACAATATAAAATATCTTTATTATTAATGGTAAGTATATTCTGTTGTTTCTCATTTACGTCTAAGATATTTCGGACAGAAGAAGATGTTGATGATAAGGGCGGATAATTGCCAAGTCGTTGAGCAATTACAAACATAACCTTTTTACTAGATGCCTCCTTTCTCATGTAACAAAGCTGTTTGTTATTTTGAAAATTTATAACATATCCTCGAAAGTAAATACTTATATATGGATTAGTATATATAGGACAGACATCTTCTTTGTATAATGCTACTTCAAAGTCATAGCCCATAGGACATAACTTATCCACAGTAAGACATGGAACATTTTTCCAAGAGAAATAATTATCACTAATATTTAAAGTTCCATCGTAAAAATACACTTTACGTGTCAAAGATTCCATTTGTCGTTGACAAGGATCGAGATATTTATCATATAGATTATTTCTCGACAAACAATAGACTGATCCAGTGGATTTATCGAAACATTCATATTGATTGAAAGGACACACAGAATCAGGACAATTGAACTCATCGCTAATGTCAAGGCAATCGTAATTGTTATTGCAACGTGTGTATGGATTTGCGCAAGGCCATAAATCACAATTGGTCTCGTCGGTTTCGTTATTTTTCTCTGATAGTGATACAGTCTGTAAAAAATCACATATCTTGTGAAATGGAGTTTCTATAGTTACATCTTGTATCTTCGGCCATGCTTCATCTTCTCCAGAAGGACAATCATCGTTAAAGTTATTGACTGCAACAAATGATAAACATTTAGATGAGTCCGATGAACATTGAAATCGATTTGAATCATTCCATTGACATGTATTAAATAGTTCATCTTCTCTATAAAAACAATCAACTTTGCCATCTTGAACCCGATACTTTGAAATGCATTTCATCGATTGATTACAATAAAAATAAGATGAATTTTTACATGATTTTTCATTACCCATTGTCAAGCATTGTTGACGTGCGTAAGAAAAAATTCTGGCAGCAGCATAGAAATCTTCTATTACCATCATTTTTGTTAGATTTGAAACGTGACAACACATTAGTTTCTTGATGATTTCAATAGGAACTACAGTCATTGCCAATATGGAACATTTTTTAGGATTAAAACATACGAAATCAGGCGCTATATTGTTTTGAAATAAATCCATAGAACGATTAGTTAAATAGACGAATTGAAAGAAATCAAGAAAAATCGGACGTGCCGGTATGACTAACCATTCGGATGAACAATGCTTTGATAGTGATTCACAATCTTGGGTATTTTCATTAGACTGTACATTGACTGTTGATTGGAATACATCTAAGATGTCACAGAGATTTGATATAATTGAGGTGAACATGATTTACAAGCTTCAAGTTTATCTTACTTATGTCAAATGTTTGTCGAAGACGAAGAATACAATAAAATGCTCTTCGACAATTCTTATTAACAATATGATTCATTGAAGTAAGTATAGTTTGACCTAATAATTTATCTTTTTTATTGTAACAATAACTTCTTTTATTTGGTATTATAACGCCGTTCAAATATTGACCATCGCCACATGGAATTGTTTCAGTATATCGACCAATATGTTCTTGACAATCAAAAGTAAATTCAGAACCACAAAAATCGTTCATTCTCGGTGGCAAACTCATCCAATCATCTTCATCACTCCCATCAAGACAATCAATATTCAGATGAGAATCTCTGTTAAATTCTAACGGAATACATTGACCACCATAGTGGCAACGATATTCATTTTTATTACATTTAGTTATTTCCAATTGATCACACCATTGTTCATCTTCACCATTATCACAATCAATTAATCCATTACAAATTTGACGCCAATCTAGACACATTGGCCATAATTCACTATTACAACCATTCACAAATCGATAACATGTGCCAATAGTTTCATTTTTATCAGTAGAACTTTGTTCCATAAGAGTATGCTGAACAATTTTTGTAAATGATAACGACGGATCACGAGGAAATTTATATTGACAAAAAGAGCCAAACCATGGTGATGAGCAATTATAAAAAAAATTCGAAGTAATATCATTCTTTTCATATTTTTCCACAATATCGATAGGTGCAAACCATGCCAATAATTGTTTACTAGTAACACCTTGCTCTTTTAAATCATAAAAAGAAATGATATTTTCTATGTTCTCATAAGTTTCATATGAAATTGTGTTTTCTTTTTCATAGTTTTCCGGTCGTCGACAATAAGCATCTAGCTGAGAACTTGGCCGATCACGCAACCAATCTATCACCGTGCTACTTATATCATAGTGTACATACAAACAGTCAAATGCCGGATAAGAGAGTTTATGCTCATTCGAATAATAAAGCACATAATGAGTATTCACTAAAGAACACCATATTAGAATGAAAAGTATTTGTACGATAATCATAGCCAGAAATTTTCCATAATTAACAAATAACTAGTGTTTTTAAAAAGAATCTGAAACAAAGTTAAATATCATAAAGTACTAAAGGCAAAATAAATCACGAAAAACCGCTACTATTTTGAATATCTTTGTAAGAGTGAAACACTTTCATACAAAAAACACAAATGAAGATAAAGACAAAAAGTAGAAATATAAATATGTACAAAATCAGGCTAGTCGCAGATCAAACGACTATTCTTGGATATTATTTACTAATACATGTACAAAATACAAATAAAAACACAATCAGACTCATTCTTGCTCTTCACCATTGTGCATGTCAATGCAATCTTCACAAAGCTATGTATTTGTTGTTGTTGAAATTCCCGATCTAATCCGACAAGTGTTACATAACCATATCGATCGATTATATTCGACGCAATTATAAAATTCATTCTGATGGCAGCAGTACATCGCATTTACTTCGTCTGGCTCCTCTCTAGTAATATATTTGCCATAGCGGTTGGTAAAGTTCATGGCATTCGTTTTCCATTTTTTTGACTGAGTCGAACAATTATCTATTGTAATTGATAATACCTTTCGTCGTCTCATTACAGTGTATTTGCTCGTGTATGGCTCGTAATTAATAGGTACATCAACGAGTAATTTTTCCGATTTTCATCTGATTTACTCTATGAGTTATATGCAAACGACGGATTACCTTCGTATATCGTCTGGAAAAAGAAGAAACATTCATAAGTACATCAAGTGTTTCAATCATAATTCGTGAATGTCCGTTTGTTTATATTCGGTTTGCCATTGAATAACCACCACGTTCACATTCAACTGAGTTAAGAGGCGATACCAAATAAACTGATAATAAAATCAAAATATTCTTTGCGAATTCATCCAAGGAGATTTTTATTGCTTCCCATTTCAGCTTATATTAGTTCATATCAGATCCAGTTAGATTTTGATATTTTATTCGAAAATAATCCAGTTCTCATAGACCATAAACTGATTTAACAACTTCACCTCCATTTCTGATCAGAGATGCAAATAGGACGATAAAACATTTCTGTGCTTTTTTGTGTACTCAAAACGTGAGTATACCATAGAATCTGTCAGTAGGTCCGTCTGACCGTTAATCCAATAACTCCTGAAAGAATAATCGAAGTTTCATGAAATTTGATACATAGCATTATCTTGTAAATGCCTCGGTCGAGTTCGAAGATGAGCCTGATCGGCTGTACTCTTGCTGACTTTTGATAAAGTTTTCTCTAATTCCTATATGAAAAGCTTGAAGATTTGCGTGTTTATCCGCTTGTTCGCTTTGCATTCACTTTTTGTCTCAGCTATGGTCACGAAACCTTCTGTACTGTTTCTTTGGATCCAGAAAAATGCTGACTGACTAGTGAAGGGGTAGGCCTGGGTGGAGCCTGGGTGAAATATCATCCACGCGATTTTACATCAGAAAAAGTCACGAAATCCGTCATAGTGCTTCTGTGAATATAGGGAAACATCGAAAGAGAGTTAGTGGGCCAGTAATGAGGGTGGGTAAGGATGGTGTGGGTGCAATCTCACCCAAGTGGTTTCATAACTGAAAACGCCGCGAAACTTTGCATGCAGCTTCCATATGTTTAGAAAGCATCAAACGACTGTTCGCATACTAGTGAGGATGATAGGTGTTGACGACATGGGTGGAGCCTGGGTGAAATTTCGCCCACGCGATTTCGTGTCAAGACTGTACGCCAAACCCTCCGTACTACTTTTGTGGGCATATGTAAGGGTGGACGGATAAGGTTGTCAAACTTTGCATGCTGGTTTTTGTGTACTCAAAACGTGAGTATACTATAGAATCTGTCAGTAGGTCCGTCTGACCGTTAATCCGATAGCTCCTAAAAGAATGATCCCATTGTCATGAAATTTAGTACATAGCAGTATATTGTCAATGTCGCAGACGAGTTCGAAGATGAGCCTGATCGGCTGTAATACTGCTAACTTACAAAAAAATTCTCAGATTTTTGTGTGCCATCTGATACACTTTTTGAAGTACACATAACTTTCGGATAAAGTCCAAATTTTTCACATTTATTTCTACTTCGATTAGCAATCGGCCAATATGCAACAAACATTCTGCGTAAAGTGTAGAACGATCGGTTACGACAATTTGAAAAGCACTGAAAAAATTGCAATCAGTAATTGGATTTACGTAATCAACTGATGAATGACCTAATATAGACTCCTGTTGGTGTCTTTCAGATAACCACTTTTCTAATATTTTCTTATTTTCATTCAGTACAGTAACAACGATGAAATAGGGCGAATCATCGTTTTGCAAGATTTTTGTTAGTTTCTTTAAGAACAGCGCGAGGTAATCGTGATAAAGAGATGCTCTGGCTTACCCTAAACACATTCATACAAACCATAATGAAAATATAGCGTGAATAAAAATTCGTCCTCCAGAATTGAATTCGACAGGTTTATTGCTGCTTCGTGATTATCATGAAAAACATTCTGCTTGAGTTTTATTTCTTCCAAAGTTATCAGTAAAGCTTGATTTCCTGAAAAAGAATAAAAAGAGTTGTGATTAACCCTTTCCGGCCGGTTCGCAGAAGACAACAAGAAAGACATGTTAATACTGCATATTCGGCAACATCCGGCCGTAAGGTTACAAAAAAATTTAAAAAGCTAGTTATTTTTCATAAATGGGCAATAATTTGGTGACAGTTCTATTCTATTTTGTCAAAATAAAGCATACTTAGCTCATCTATCTATCTATCTTATGGAGCGTTATGATGGAGTAGATCTCAATAGTGTCAGAAATTTCAACAATTCCACTATAAATACTCATTTGTTGATTAATTTTTCACACGATTTTTAACGTTGTATGATAGCCTACGTAAAGATACTCTGATGTGTTGTGAATAATGTTAGAATCTCCCTAAATAGATAATGATTTATAGTGGAATTGTTGAAATTTCTGACATTATTGAGATCTACTCCATCATAACGTTCCATAAGATAGATAGATGAGCTAAGTATACTTTATTTTGACAATATAGAATAGATCTGTCATCAAATTATTGCCCATTTATGAAAAATAACCAGCTTTTTAAATTTTTTTGTAACCGTACGGCCGAATGTTGCCAAATGGCAACATACTCAAATTTTGTTATTCGAGGATCCTAATTAATCCATGTTATATTCTTAGCAGATAATAGGGTTACAGGCGAAAATTAAGCGCTAGTCACTTCTCATATACAATGCTTGAATAAGCGATAAGAAGATCTTTTCCCTTCGGGAGCTCTTCTGGACGTTTCGGGAGAGTTGATCCCATTCGCCAACAGAATATTACTTCTCTCTAGCAAACACATATATTTGTGCTAAAATATGGGTAGTTATTCATCGAATGGCATGAAAAACTATATCTCTACGTTTTAAAAAAAAAGTTATATTAACATCAGTAAAATGTTCCCAAATGGCAGCATCCGGCCGTAAATGGTTAAGGAAAAAGAAAACTCAACTAAATTTACTTGACATAAGGTTCAATATTAGGATTTTATCGAATCTCAAATAGATGTCCATCGTATGCGGAACAATCATTTAAATTTCAACTTTGACGTTAGAATTGTATCTGAACCAAAGCATAGATAGATCTTTCTGATGATATTTTCCAACTTCGAGATCAAATCACGATTCTGTGCTTGTTCATCGCATTCAGCAAATGAAATCTGACAATTCCTACAGCTTTTGATAAATCCAGCTTGACTACCGAGCAGTGCAAAGGAATATACAACGCAAATGTTCAACTCGACAAAACCGAAACCATAGTCACACTGTAACTTCGCTAAAACAACATTGTTAATGCCTACTTGTTAGTTTTCCCTTACAATCCAAAGACTCCTGTCCACTAGACGTTGATAGGCGGAACGGGAGGTAACGGAAAAAAGCTGGTGATCTGTATCGGTTCCGTTAGTATGTGTATGTGGTTGTCCTACTTTGGAATTGGAGGAACGAATGACGTGATTCGAAGTCTTCGTGGTAACGTTTATTGATAAACGACCTATGTCGATCACAGTTCAAAGACAACTGCTTCTGTCTGATCTTACAAGTTCATAGAGCGGCTGCACAGGCGGCATAGAGAGAAACCAGAGAGAAAGAGAAATATATATTATGCCATCGAACCGCGCATAGGACATATAGATCTGAACAAGAAGAAGGAAAAGAAAAAAGGTAGCGATAACAGTGTACCCTCTGTTATCGCTGACAATATATTGATTTAAATCAGATTGTTTTAGATTATCTACGATTATTTTATTCGTTTGTTCGCATAGTAAGTTTAAAGTTTGAAATAAAGAGAGGCTAAGCGATCGGAAATCATTAAAAATTATACTGTTTTGATCAAATGAATCAGCAAGATATTTAATCCATTTTTCACTAATAAAATCACTGTGACACACTTGATGCAAAGAAATTGAAATTTTTGGCATGCTCGAATAATAATTTATGTACTAAAAATGAATATGGATATTGAAATATTTAAGAGAAACAATGATAATAAAGTAATTATTTCTTTTCTATTCTTCTAATTTTTATTCCATCTATGATACTTATCCTTTTCTGCTGACGGAATTACGAAGATGCATTATGCATACTCGACTAGAATTTGTTTCTTACAATATGCACATATTATAGCTCGCCTTTAGCAGCAGGTACTTAAGATAATATATACACAAGCATTAATACTATTTTCATGTCCATCATTTATATTTACTCAGACTTACGAAGATCCAATAATTTCTGTTAATTACAGAGTTGTTGAGAAATTCTAGATCTTTCAAAAGAAATGTGTAAATAACAGCGACTTGGAATAACATAACGAAATTATGTTTATTGAAATAAAATAAAAGAAGAATCGACGTTTCGATGATCTAAGACATCATTATCAAGATAGAAGAGAAACTACTAGAGAAATGATGTGAAACAACGGAAAACAAAACGATTAAAATGAACAATAACGGAGAGAAGAACGAATTTAACCGTTTGGGTCAGGTAACATATCTCTTGGTAAGCCATCTGGAAACACAATAAGTGGTACTGAGTGTGTTGTTCGATTCAGTTCTGGCTTGAATGCTTGAATCAGTAAAGATTCTTTGATTAGCAGTCAATAAGGGTTGTCATCTCTCCATGCGACACGAAAAGCAGTCCAATCAATACGATGTCTTGTGTCTTTGGTATGTTGTGCGAGAGAAGATATAATTTCTGTTTCTTTTTCTCTCTTTTTGTCATTGGTCGTGTTGGAGGTATTCGTTGAAGTAACGTGGTTCTTGTTCCGAATACGTGATGACCGTCTTAAGCTTGTAGATGTTGGTTCAGGTATTGCTGTGTCATCCTCATCACTTCATGCCTGTTCAGTTGGACGCGAATCAAAGGATTGTTTTGGTGCTCCATGTTCACGTAGGCGACGTATACTTTGTCTTTCAGTTTTACCGATGTATGTTTGATTGCAATCGATACAACTGATTGAGTAGACGACGTCTGACTGCATGTGTTTGGCGATTGGATCTTTGGTTTGGAAGAATGTTTGAACCGCTGGTGGAGGTTTTGTGTAGAAGCGAATGTCGAGATCAGGACGAACTTTACCAGACAGTTGACTGAATCTCTTCTTCAACAAGTCCGCTGGTCGACCGATGAATGGTATTTCTACATACAATCGTTTCTTCTCACACCCAATCAAAGGTAATATTGTTGTGTTGGAGTCATTCTTCGCTAATTGCTGATTCAGTCCAATGGCAATTCGGGTATCAATGAAAGATATTGGGTGAGGGTGAATCCATGGGAAACGTACCACGTTTACATCGACTTTCTTCAAAATTCCTCGAACTTTCAGGGTTTGTAGAGCTCGACGAGCTGAACATTTTGGTATAAAAGTATCATGGGTTTGTATCTGTTTTCACCCCGAACGATCCGAAATACGATTTTGCCAAAGTACGAAAAATGGAAAAATTTGGGCGGTTTGTCGACAGTATTTTGCCCATATTATCGCCATAGAATCAGAGCTAGGACAAGTACAAGTACTGCAAGTAAAAGTATTATACTTGTACTTGAGGAATAGTACTTGGTACTTGTACTTGTACTTGAGGAATAGTACTTGGTACTTGTACTTGTACTTGAGGAAGTGTACTTGGTACTTGTACTTGTACTTTAGAAAGAGTACTTTGTACTTGTATTTGAGCCTAAGAACTGATAAAAAACGGACCAATAGGATTACAAGATCGATTTGGTCATTTTCTTCGCTATTTTCAAGAAGAATCCCTTGGTTACTTGTACCGAACATGTGATAATCCAGTACGATCTTTCATTCTAGTATAGGTAACCAAGGATTTTCCCTTCGAAATAGTAAATAAGCAACTCTCTGAGCTCGCATTGGTCAAAAATGGACCAAAAGGATTTCAGGATCCATTTTCTTCAATCTTTCGAAGGGAAAATCCTTGGTTACCTATACTAGAATGAAAGATNTCGATCAGTTTTACTCTCAAATTGCTTCGGATTGGTATTACAGTGACCTAATTTAATGATAAGTACGTTGAAAGGAAATAAGTTTTCTAGTGGAGGTCGTTGTTGAAGTTTTCTTTTGACAAGAGGATTTTACTAATGAAAACAACTTGGGAGTGAACTAGAAAATAATTAACGGCATGGTGACGTGAAAAAAATTTGTAATTAAAAAGTAATATCAGAGAGATAGGATCACTGAGAAAAACGTTATTTATTGGTATTTGAAAGCATTTCGTTCTTCCCACTCCATTGATCATTTGTTCAATCTTCGCTTGATATTACCTATTGTTCGATCGACAATCACGTTATTTTTAGTAATCGGCTTAGTTTGCGAACTGACAAATTATCCTTGGATACTTTATCTATTTTCTTTCATTCTATGAGATTGGAGTTTATATTTAATTTATTCGACAATCGTCGATTGAGTAAGAATTGAAAGGCATGTTCTGTTTTTTTTTCATTAGAAATGGTTATCGATAACAAAGAAACGTTTTCTTATTCACTACACATTCCCCTCTGACTTTTCCCTTATGTAACGTGTAGTTTTTCATGGTACTTTTTATTTCTTTTCACTATGTCCGAATCGGATTGATTTCAGTCGTCTAACGTGTAACAACAGTTGTTTCCATCGTTGTTTCATTTTTGACATGCTGTTTGTGGATAATTCAATTGGATTGAACTGAAATATTCCATTCGTAAGAAATTTCTTATGCTCCATATATTCATTTCGAAATGTGTTGATTTGTTAGTCGAATTAATCATGTTACTGAATATCTATGCCTCGATCGATTTTTTTTCAAAATTCAATTTAAAATATAAAATATCATAAACTCATCTATTTAATATCACTTGTACTAAATCTATCGATTAGTAACCCATTGTTATAGTATATATCGTTCTTACATAATCTTTTTCTTACATGACATCCATTATGTATACGTACGTTTATCGTCTATCTTTTCATTTGTCATTTATATAATCCATCGTTTTAAAAAATTTGAACACATATAGCTCATTTTGTAGTACAGTGAACATTACATTGTAAGCATAATAGTATTGATATATATACGCTGTTTAGAATATAATTCATTGGGTACTTATGAAAAATGGCAT